ATCCCTATAGTCCATAACAATAACAATCTTCCCGTTTCATGGTTAACTTATGAGTCCTCACTACACCAAAAGTCTATTAAGCGAGCAAATAAATGAATTTGATTATATAAACAAACATACGAAGCTTAAGTGAAAAGTTAATCTTGCATACTCTTATGATTTAGATATTAAATATAGCCCACCATTGGCTTGTCTTTTATTTTGCAAAATGCAAAATAAAAGACAAGCCAATTAAATAATTAGAAGTGAAATTCTATATTAGATAATTAAATGTTATTACAAAAATGCAATCATTCATTTTTCTAACACAGTATTTAAATATTCAGTATACCATGAAACTATAAAAGGTACAGAAATTTCCAAAAATTCCAAATTCCCAAATTCTAAATAAATAATTAAATGTTATTGAAAAAATATATGACACTTACTTCTTTATTCAAATGATGATTAGGAGTTATTTAATATCACCAGCCTCTGGCGCTATTATGTCAGGATGGCCGAGCTTTATGGAAGTATGGGTTCAAATCCCACTTCTGACATAACTCTTTAGTAAATTAGTGTGCTTGTGCTCTGAGAAGGTACCGAACCCGACCCGGGTTCACAGTCTTCTCATGGAAGACTGTGAAAATTTCCCCCCTTTCTCTGTGCAGCCTGGAACTCTGCATTTACGCCCCTGGGTCTGGCTCATTTTCAATAGAGAAACTGCCTGATTGTAATTCTTGTAGAAGTAAACCCAACTGTAGGCTAAACAGCTAAACTGGCATCTTACATCTACCTCTATTGATGTTTTTTGGCCAGTGAATCAGTGGACAATTTTGGGGTGTGACAAAAGTACAGGCCAGAACCAAATAAGGCAACATCCCCGAATTGATGTCAATTTGGTGCTTCGTTTGGATTCGCCAGTTTTATGGTGGAAGTTAAGAATTGTGAAATTTGCAGAGAAAGGAGGGGTTGATGGGGTTTGAACTTCTCTGTACGTCCATTTCACCCCTGAACTATCGTTATTCATCTATGACAATGTAAACTCAGTTTTGCATTCTATGACCCCTTTAACAATACACCTGGTATTTCCCTACTTTCAATAACTTAATTACTCCCTTGAATCTGAAAAATATTTTCTGCATTTCACAAATGCAGAATATGGTATGGTATTATGGTAATTGGTACCTTTCTGGATTTGACAGGTGACCTCTTGAAAAAGAGATAAAAATAAAGGACTAAAAAAACTATTTTTTTTCAGGCTACTCAAAGGACCTTAGTGATTATAAATGAGCGACATGTTCAGGAACAATACAGTTTAGGTTGTGTTTTCCTACCATTTATATAAGCAGTTATATATTTTCTTCAAACAATAGAAAAGAAAAAGGAAATCTAAAATAACCTTTTTAGGATAACAGCCCTCTGCGATGGACTGGCGACCTGTCCAGGGTGTACCCGCTTCTTGCCCATTGACAGCTATAGATAGGCATCAGCACCCCTCGCGATCCCAATAGGGACAAGCGTGTCAGATAATTGATGGATGGATAATAGCCCTGCAGTTTCAGATATTTTTATTAATAAAGTTTATGAAAATTCCTTCCAATTCAGCATTCATGGTCTGATTGCTGTGGTTCTTTGGTTCTGACCTCAGTTAGATTGATTCTTCTTGGTTGTACTTCTGAATAAGGGTGGATCCATTTTATTGACACAAAAGCTTTGGGATGAAAAACACCTGCAGTTTGCTTTCATGTCAGTTTTCTAGAAAACAAAACATTATTTTCACCCATGAATTTTCAGCACAATCACGTCGTCTGGCAAAGCGACAGCATTCGACAATTGAAGGACTGAGGAGTGGGTTAAGATTGATGTCAGATTGAGATGAAATCATGTGGAGGAGGCTTAAGTTCCCTTTAAATTCAAAAGTCATTTGTTCAATCAACACAATTCAAGTCCATCAAACATTTGTTTATTAAAAAACAAAACAAAAATGTTTCTCTCAGCCGAACCTATCTCAGATCAGATGTTTTTACATGAAATTGTTGCTCAGATGTGTTTGACTCATCAGAGAATCAAATGGATTCTCTGCTTATGACTCCATCACCTGCAGGTTGTCTGCAAAACACGGAAAGACTGTGCTCTGTTAAAGACGGCAGATTATTGTTTCAGTTTCTTTGCCTCTGTTTTCTCTCTTTTTTAAGACGTAGATCAGGCTTATAGAGGAAATCTTGTTTCATTATCGTTCCAAGCGAAGAACACGTTTTTAAGTGGAACTTTAAATAACTTCTTTATCAAGAAAAATATTTTTAGAGCTATTTTGTGGTTTTCTAACATTAGAATAGAATTCAACTTTATTGTCATTGCACTGTCACAAGTTCAGAGCAACGAAATGAATTCTCTGCTTTTAACCCATCCCATTAGGGTTCCCCTCCTTTAATTTTTGCAAATAAAGAGTAAATATGACCAAATGCAAAGGATTTGTTGTTGATTAGGAGAGGAATAAACACAGTTAAGACATGCAGGTACATTAATTTCTTCCCATGTTATGTTGCAGTAGGGAAACAGATTATTTCAGCCAACTGAAGCATCCATTCTCTCCTCTCCTCCTCCCATATCTTTGGGAAATAAAGAGCAACTGTTTCTAATTTCTCTAAAATTGATATGTTTGATATGTTATACTAGAAATGTCCTTAATCCAGTAATCTGTCATGTTTTACATTAGAAGGGGATTAACCAGAAATTCTACTCTCATCTTCACAGGACGTCTTAATTTGTGTGCCCTGCTATCAGCCAGTTTCCATCCTCTTATATCAGCAATGAAAATTTTAAAATACACTGCGTGTTGGAAATCTATGTTTGGTGACTGACTTTTATTTCTGTCAGGCTGAAGGGACAAAATTTAAAGAAATACTGATTCTCTTGGCGTTTAAAAAAACAAAACAAAACAGCGTAAGAAGACCTCGTTAATGTATTTATTTTACTAATTTGTAAAAAGAGCAACCGATTAAACTGAATGTTACAAAGTTGATATGATTATATGAGCTGTTTTCACTTAGAAATGATCAGGAGCGCCTTAAAAATGGTCAGATCTGCGTCTCTGGCTGCAATGCACGCTCCCGACACAGGGGGAACACAAATAGACCGGTTCAGCCTCGGAGTTAGTACCCACCCTTTCTGGTTGAATTCCTGAAAATTATAATTTGTTTTGGGACTTGTAAAACTGTTTCAAATGTTTTTTATTTGTTTTCTTAAAATGCTATTTGTTTATTTTTATTTTTTTAATGTAAATTTGTTTCCTGAAATAATAATTTGTTTTGGAACTTGTAAAAGTTCTTTAGATTTTGTAATGTTGGTTTGCACCTCCCGGCCACCGTACTAACCACTAGGCCGCCACTCCCCTATTATTATTATTATTACTATTATTATTGTTTCTCTATTTTTTTAAACTATCAATTTTTTAATTTTGCTTTCGATTTTAATTTTCTCAAATAAATCTTTCTCAGAACTTTTGCTTCATCTAAAGCCCAAGATTTTAAAGTATATCTCAGTTGTTTTGCACCTCTGTCTTCAGGGTTTTCAGCATGCACATTAAAGTCCCCACACAAGAAGTAAGTAGTCATGTTCAAAACATCATTGAAATCATTTTGGACATTGGAGGTCTGTAAGGTGGCCTGGGTTTGTTTGACAAAGCAGGTGTAATTAAAACTCTAAGTTGCAGGCAGCACTTCTAAGTTATTCCCGTTTCATGAAGAGAGTTTACTCGGCCTCTGTTTCTGTTACCATAGTAACATTGTCCACACATCTAACCTGGTTGAGAGCAGGTTGTCCTCAATAAACTCAGTGTCCTTTGTCTCTGCCCTCCTTAGAGCCAATCACAATGTTTCATTTCCTGATTTAGTCAGGAAAGTTCTGTTGTAGTTCTGTGTTAACAATAGAAAAATGAGTCACTAGGTCCGTTAGAAACATAATCTAAACACAAACCAAGCATGTCCTTTAGATGAGGATCCAATTAAAGAATGAGTTCCAATAATTCAAAGGTAATTCAATATTTAATGGAAGCGGGTTCTCAGACAGCGTATAGAGGTGCTTTGATATTCAGAAAGTTATCTTTATGACCGCTACTGTATCATCTCATAATCCATCACAAACATCTACGACTTTATCCGTCCTCACATTTACAGCAGACTTCTTTAACAGATTTTTAATGAAACTTGATATCGCTCAGAGCACATTGATGTGCGCATTATAGAACGCAACTGCAGTCAGCTTCACAGCAGCAGGTTGAGCCAAACATCCTCTAAATGTGCAGGGTCATCTTTGAGCACGCCATTTCACTTTTCTGTCACCAGTTCACCACAGTTCTTCCAGCAGTCCACACTTTCTCTGCTCTCTTTTTCTCATCTTCTCCTTCTTTCCCATCGCCCGGCTCGCCACAGGTTTGCCTGCTGTGTCTAAAAGTAGCAGCAGCAGCAACCCAGACTGACAGCAGCTCATTGGATAATTTGGATCACATGCAGCCTGGTGCCGGACGCTACGAATGGTTTTATCATAACAGGAGAAGCGGCACAGGTGACATTAGACACTGTCGTCGGACAATATTCTGTAATTTATAAATGTTTTAAATTAGACTCGGTCTGGATTAGGACCCTGGTCCGCTAATCTGTGACCTCTGCACTAGACTCTCAGGGGATGGATGCCTGAATCCACAGACCACCACCACCTCCCCACCCATATCAAACATTTCCCCTGAGGGGCTCTGAGTGTTTACAGATCTTTAGTCGATTCAGCTGAGCTCTTTCTCTCAGTGTTTGCTCTCTCTCCGTTCTCCATTAAAGGTTAATTAAACTCGACACTCTTTCTGTTCAAACAGCACAATCTGCTGCTGTTTCCACACAGTAACACTTCTAAAGCTCCCAGTGTTCCCCAAGCTGCAACATTTATTCCTGTTTTTCCATATCAGTAATCAATAATCTAGGCCAACCTTTGATCATATTGAAGGAGGCGGAGCCACCAGACTGATTGAGCTCTTTCTTTATTGGACAAATACAATAATTAGTGGATTAGACTGCTGAATGATCTGTTCCGTCGCCCCTGCAGGTGATTTGTCGTTTCGAAACGGGGAGTTGGGGCCTCTGCTGGAACACAGAAAGCAAAGTTAGAAATGTAGCTCAGGGGACATGTTGATTTAATAGGAAGTCAGCTACCTGTTTTCCTCCTTTAACAGGAAGTTAGGCCTTTCCAGTAGAAGTTCTTGCAGCCAGCTTTGCGTTCACGTGCAGTGGTGTCAACGGACCGTTCCAGGTTCAGTCTGGAGCCTGTTACTCTGGAAACACTGTTTGGCTCGTCCGACTGGGCATCGACCTCTGGCCTCGACATCTGAGCCAGAAGGTCCTCAACTGCCCGTTTGGACCAGTCCTGAAAAAACGGAACAAAGAAACAAAATAACCTGAAATCCAAGAGCTCAGAATCCTAATGGAAGATATTAGATCCAGTCTGAGCAGAAACTTTAAAGCAGCATTTTGTGCTTTTATCCACTACAGCTTCCAGGATTAGCACCCCAAGAAGCATCTGGACGCATAAAGTGCTAAAGAATTGATCTTAAAAATAATTAAATCCATCTCAAACTGAGACCAAAAATTACACGCTGCTGCTTTGAAATACAAGTTTAAACAATTAGAAAGGAGATTAAGCACCTTAGATAAAATAGACCTGTAAAACTCTCGGAGCACATGACATGATTTTGATATAAATGACAGTCACTAGAGATCTTACTCACTCTTTCTCTTCTCCTCCATATGAAATTCCCTCTGCCCTGGTTATCTTTAGCGGTTTAGCAGATCCATATTACCTGTGAGCATCGATGTCCAACTCCTACCTACTGGACCACAACTGCATTGATTTGATGTAAAAATGCCCAGCCATTTATTCCTGCTCCCCCCTTTTAACCTGACTAACTCTTTGAATGAAATGTACTGCAGTAAAGCTCGGGAGAAAATCTGGACACCTTTAATTTTTTTTTGCTTTATGAATTAAAAGAAAAAGGCTTAAAGCATTAAACAATGCCGATTTGCATTGATATAAATACTATAACTTAAGAATTAACATTTATAGCAATAATGAGAGCATTCGTACGCTCTGGTTTGATTTGGAAATTTCATTATTACTGTAACACTTACATGTATAATAAACATTTTATGGTCAAACAGTTTAGAAACACATAGAATATAGCTATAATTGAAATTATGAGTGGAAAGTCTGGAGTTCCTCAGGGTTCAGTTCTTGGTTCTCTTGAAGTTTTCATCTTCTTTAAGACAGGAAAAATTGTTTAAATCTAAGTTTTGAAATATCTAAATAGCTATGTGCCCTCAGGTAATTTATTGTTAGATGTTTACACTAAAATAAATAAACAAATAAGAAGCCCCACAGGTCTCATCCCTGTTATCTGGTTTGCTTAATCTGATTGGTCGGAGGGTGATGATCCAAACTCTGCTAATCTTGAAGCAGCTGGATATAGTGAAGATAGCAGACACTTTTCAACAGATTACAAACAAACTTTAGTGAAACTGGACTCATGAACCCGACTTTTCTTATTTTTACTCCTATATTAATCCAGAAAGAGCACATCTGATCCACCATGGTCCTTTAAAAATGGCCCTGTTTCTCATCCCTTTTATACAGCAGATTAGGGTGATGATAGAGGGCAGTTTTACCTGTGAAAGGAGCCCGGCACTGCGGGCTCGCTGCAGCAGTCGGTGGTGACGAAGCTCCAGGTCCAGATCCTGGTTCTGGTACAGATCCTGGTCTCTATCGGCCTGAGAGGAGACCCCCAGACTGAACATGGCCAGCCCGGCAAGGACCAGGATGATGGGACAACGTTGGTGATACATACCTGCAGAGGTATCAGAAGAAGAAGATGAGAAAAAGAGGAGGAGAAAAAGTGAAAGAGGAGAGGAAGAAGAATTTCCTACTGAGTTCTGGTCTGGTGTCTGGTGCTGGTCCTGGAGCTGGCTCTGGTTCTGTGCTGCTGGTCCTACAGCTGCTGCTCTTATGAGGCCTGGCTCCCCTCCTCCTGCATGTCATGTGATGCTGTACAGTTGATTGGCAGCTGGAAGTCTGCAGGGTGATGAAGGAACTCTGAGTTCCAAGTTAAACAGAAGTCCATTAGTCCTCATTGACTTTAAATGGCTTCTGAACAATAAAACAATAAAGCTATCAGCAGCCGCAGCGCTCATCTCCGACAAAGACAACGGCACAATGTCGGCTGGAGAGGGGGGGAATTAACGGAGCGTTCAGGGGATTAGCAGACTTCATTAGCACTCACTGATATCTCCATTAAACAAAGCGGCAGCAGCAGAGAGGCGCCCACTCTACACTTAGTTAGAACAAACACTTCAATAGCATCCAAAATGACTTTATGCTGCTTTAAAATGTTCTGCTGCAGGGAGCCGTGGTGGATGTGACATCAGGGAATCCCACTGCAGCAAATGAGGAAAAAAAGTTCCTCAGTCCAACCTCAGTGATTACTATCGAATAGCCCCCAGAGAGGTCCTTGCATCTTAAAGAATATTTACTTAAGTTCATACAGCTTATTATTGGGTCAGGAAATACTGGCTAACTTCATTCAAAACCTATGAAAAACCTCAAAAACTAAAAAAAATCAGCAAGACCTTTTAATGTTCTGCTTTGAGTAAAGTTATGTATGGTGGATGGTTCTAAAATCTATCAGTGTGTGATTCCAGACGCACTGCAGACAGAGTGATTGAAGAGCCTTTGAAGAGGAGGAGTGATGAAGGCCTCTTAGATCCAAATAGAATTTTATGTTCTTTAAAGAAAATTAGATGATCTCACTAACTACATTTCAAACATTCACATTACAGTCCTGATGCACCTCCACTTTGGGTAGAGTCCTTACCGATTTGCGGTATTTAAATTGAGCCTAAGGGTGTCTTCAGCAGGGAAGATGGCTGACAGCCAGAGAGAAGGGAGATATACTGTCCATACAATGACCAACAAAGAATACATTTTGTTTTTGTCTAACCTCATCAGGTATGACCTTACATCTCCCACTATGATATACGTAGAAACACCATTCACTTTCAGATTAAGGCAGAATTCAATTCAGTATATTTGTGTAGCGCCAATTCACAACATATGTCAACTCAAAGCACAATTCAACCAGATCATACAGTCAAATTGATTCATAGTTTTCTATCTAAGGAAAACCAGTTGATTGCGTTGCCTCATTGACTCAAATACAATCCCTCACACTAAGCATTTTTGTAGCGACAGTGGAGAGGAAAAACTTCCCTTTAAACAGGAATAAACCTCCAGCAGAACCAGGCTCAGTGTAAGCGGGCATCTGCCGAGGCCGACTGGGGTTCAAGGAGAAAGAAGCAG